GAGGAGTAGAGTGCAGCGATAGGTAGTGGCAGCTAGCGCTGCCATAGCTGTAGCCTAGCATGTGTGGTGTGTGAAGTATGATACTGAGTGTTGCGTGTGGGACATCCAGGGTGATCCAGAGTGCGAACAGTGAGTTGTGTGGGCGCCCAGTCGCCATAGCCAGTTGAAGAGAACTCATATCTGGTTACGATATCTTGAGTATTGTGTGGGCGCATGTCGCCAGTTGCTGTTTCGCTGTTTGCATACATGACAAGTTGAATAATCAGAAGTGTGATTTCATATAATAGGCGATAATATCAACAGCAATGATCTCAAATTACCTGCGGCTGCTCACCTGTGGATGTATCTCAAGACTGTCGCCCTTTTTTTCCCTTTCCTCTCTACGAACAACCATTTGCATGTATGGACGTACTGGCAAGGGACCCCTGACCTTGGGGAGTGGTTTCTGTGAAGTGGGAAGTTGGATCGTTTCATGGGTAGTGGTCGTTTTTGTTCACCGATGTGCTATGTGTCAGTGTGTGATATATTGACAATTGGTTGGCTGCCCCAATGTTCTCTCTCATCCAGGGGAGATCGCAGCAGAGGGCTCATGGAAGTCCATGGAGATGGAGATTGAGGCTCTTCTAGAGAAACTTCAAGATGTGAATGATGCAATGAGCCGCTGTGTTGCCGGGACAACGTCGACAATGTCCGTCAGCCAGAAGCTGGCTCGTCATCGAGATATACTACATGAATACACACAAGTAAGTTGAGGTAGCTTTCCTGTAGTATGTGTGTTGGTAGTATTGCACATTGGACTGTGTGTTAGGAGTAGGACTGGTTGGACTGACCAATGGGCTGTTGTCAGCGCTGACAATCTAGTTTGCAGTGTTTGTGGTACACTGACGTGCGTGTGATCGATGTCAACGAGCCTTACAGTTGGGTGTGTTCCAGCAGTCTGTCTGCCTCTGTCGCCGAGCCTTACAGTTTGCCGTGTCTGCGGGGCACTGATGTGCGTGTGACCAGTGTCTGTGGGTAATATTGCACACTGGACTGTGTTAGGAGTAGGACTGGTTGGGATGACATATGGGCTGTTTGCAGCGCTGACAACCTAGTTTGCCGTGTCTGCGGGGTACTGATGTGCGTGTGATCGATGTCGATGAGCCTTACAGTTGAGTGTGTTCCAGCAGTCTGTGTGCCTCTGTCAGTGACAGGGAGACGTTCACTCACTGTCCCAATTGGGGGAGTTTCGTGCCATATTCTGCAAACTTGTATGGTTTTAGTCTGCAGGGAATCAGCATCCTCCCCGACCGTCGCGTGTTCATCAGTGTATTTTGTATGAGAAGGCTGCAATCGCGGCGATCGATTGTTGCTTTGTTGATGGACTGTGTGGTCCATGCAGCATTGGTTGGCGTTGAAATGCGTCTGGTCCTCCGAATTTCTTAGGCCGGAGAATTATGAGGTCGACCCATGCTATCGCCTTCGGATTTTGCGAGGCGCATGCAATGCCTCAAAAGTTCAGACGCATCGTGTACTCCTCAGATGCTGGTATCGAGTTCATGTCTTTGTTGGTTGTGTCTGTGCATGGGACTATGCCTGAAAACTGTGGTTATGGGCTTGTGCTGCTGTGGTGGCAGACCCTTTTTTTCCTTGGCCCAGACACCCCTCATTATCCACCCTACATGTCCCTTGCACTGTGCATGCTTGGGTTTTCTCCTCCCCCCTGCCCCCCTTCCCTGTCCCTTCCTATGCCGCAATGTTGTTGCCAGGTGTGCACACGGGTCACCCTGTGTCACACCGTGCTGTTGTTTTGCGGTGCAGGATGATGTGGATTAAGCTAGCTCTCTCTCTCTCGCCCGCTCACACACATGTACATACAGTGCTGAGGAGGAGGATTGCAAGGATGATAGGAGGATGAATAAGGAGGGATATTGGACACAGATGCACACAGACAGTTACGGCGATGATGACAAGGAGGAAGCTCTCTCTGTGTCACTTATACATATGGGAGTGATAACCGACGAGTAAGAGGAAGATGAGGAGGAGAAAGGCAACTGATGAATAATCAGGGGCAAGGGAGCCAGTTGCTATGTTTGTGCATGTTACAAAGGAGAAGAGAATGGTGTGTAATAGTGGTTCAGCTTCCTGTAGCATGTGTGTGGTGAGAGAGAGAGAGAGAGAGAGAGAGAGAGAGAGAGAGAGAGAGAGAGAGAGAGAGAGAGAGAGAGAGAGAGAGAGAGAGAGAAAGAGTTGGGGAAGGAAGGAGGAGCATATGAAGAGGCATAGGACAGTCACTTCAGGTCAAACTCTCATGGGTCTCCTCTTATGCCTTCTGCTTTGTCTTTTTTTTCTTTTTTTAATATCCTTCCAAAGGTTCACATATGGGAACCTTGTTATGACTTCTCCTTCCTCTGGATGATAAGGTTCAATGAACTTCTCGCAGCACTCCGACGGCAAACCCTCGGGATCACTGCGATCCAGGCACTTCACCGGACCATTCCATCAGTAGCAGTGATGGGACGTGTGTAGAAAGGGCAGGGACATGATCAACGCGATGTGATGACTCATGCGTACGAGGCATTTTTCTTTTTTCCCGTTGAAAACATGCAGGGCAGGTATTTTATCCATGAAAAGTCGTGACATCCATTAAACCACCAGTCCGATGGACCCTATTTTATGGAGCCTGGTTTTGTACCGACCCTTATCTTGCCAGCTTGAATGGTCATCCTAATGGGTTGCCGCGAGGAGGGGCAGCCACATGCATTCGCATTGCGCCAAGCTCTTTTTTGTGGATTTACTTCCTAACATTTCCCCTTGTTACAATGGAGGCTATCCTTGAACCCTGGTCTTTTTTTTGGATTTTTTCATCAACGGAAATGAGGATAAAAAGTGGCCGAAGTTGTGGCCCTCGGTACCGCCCTTGGGTCCAGTAGGCCGAACCTTTCCATGTCCTCCGTGAAAATGGCTGCTTGTTTTGGTTGGGCCCCACTGGACTGTTCGTTTCATTTTTCTTCCTTGTCTCATGTTTGATCACCTTTGCAGACTTGTAGGATCGCACAGTGGCCTCGCGATTCATGTTTTAGGAGACAGTATTTTTTTCAGTTGATTTTTGACTTAGCGTCCCTTAATTTTGTGCGCACCAGTGTGACATGCTTGGCTTGTCAGTGCTGATTTGCCAACCATCTGTGTAACCATGACTTGTTGGCGCTGATGTACCGGTCGGTGCATCCACGAGTGGGTGTGTGTTGCTGGGGCAATATTGGCACCCATATCATCCACAGAAAACATGCATTTTTTGTTGTCGTAGTTATTTGCGGCAGCCTCATCCTCTTCCTCTTCCTTGTCCTCCTCCCCTTTCTCCACCTCTTTGTCTTCATGGCCCACATGTTTGGACATCACCTGTGTGAATCTTTGCCCTCCTTCCCCTGCCATCTGCCCCCTCTACTCCAATTGCGGCCGACACAGGCTTCCTGATCATTGATGACATTTAGGCAATCATTGCTGAATTTGCCAACAACAGTTGATCAGTGCGGGCGTGCGGTTCAGTGTTCAGTGCAACTACGATGTCGTTTGGTCGCAGCTGTTCATGCAAAGCATAGTTCTTGGCTTGAGCAGTGCAACAGTAATAGGCCAAGAGGAGAAAGGGAGGAAGAGGAGGGAGATGGGTGGTGCGCCAGTAGAAGGTGGATTGGGGTGGGGTGTGGTGGGAGCGTGTTGAATACAGTTTGAAGGAAAGGCCAAACTTAGGATGGTTTTAGAGACCTGCGCATTTTGCGCATAGAGCGCTCTTAGGTGCTCATGTGGCATGCTCAAGGTGGGTGGAAGGAAGGGTGGGAGGGAGGCGGAGGATGCAACAGTGCTCATGTGGCATGCTCAAGGTGGGTGGAAGGAGGGGTGGGAGGGAGGCGGAGGATGCAACAGAATGTTACTTCCCGGGTACCAGTTACTGAATGGGATGCGGATGAAGTCAGGCGAACGTTTCTTCATGCTGTATGTGGACTAGCAAATGGGATGCTGATGTTGCATGGATATAAATTGCCTTCTTATGGACTAAAAATGCTTGTTTGCCTCCCAATATGTATCGTTTTTTGAATTGTGCATCGAGTCTCGTTCAAACCTGCGATGTCTTTTTGAGAGTCTTGTACGGTGTCTGGTTATGTGAGAAGGTTGGAGCGTGACAGGAAGTGGAATGGTGTTTGTGGGAGTGGTAAAGAAACCAGGACTGACACACCATGCTTCATGCTGATTATGCAGGAATTTCGAAGGACGAGAGGTCATATAAATTCGGCACGAGAGCATGTGGAGCTTCTGTCGTCGGTGCGGAATGACATCAGCGAGTTTAAGGCAGGCACGGGAAGCCCTCAGATCCGTGATGGGTCCTTGCGTGGTGGGGTTAGGTCTAGTGAAGGGTTTGGCAGAGCTGTGGGTGGTGTGGCAGGGCCCACACAAGGGGAGAGAGGAGCTGGTACTGGCGCCACTAGCGGCCCCGGCGGCGTTGGCGGGAGCATCGATGATGATGGTCTTGGCGACATTGTAGGTGGCTGCAGCTCTTCTGGAAGGCCGCGTGGCAGATGATCCTTGATGCTTTGAGTTCTAGGCTCATGGTTTTCATCGCTCATCTTCTCTCTGTCGTCGATGGTTGATTGCAAAGGGTACGGGTTTCAGTGGTTGGTTCCCTGTCTTTTTTTGCGGTTATCGTTTTTTTGATTTTTTTCATTTTTTGGGGCTTTTATGGATCTGGAGCAGTAGGAGTCGATAGCAGGGCAAGAGAAGGCAATTTGCTTCTTCTGGCTGCCTTCTTCACTCGAATAGAACGCCCAGTCATTATAGCTGTATTTGGCACAACTTTCGGTCCAGATGCAGCGATAATGACCGGGCGTTCTACTTGGGTGAAGATGGTTGGCAATCCGTAGCAAGAACCGGAAAAATCCAGAGAAGGGAAAGGTGGTGAACTCCAGGGAGCTACCGACGCGGCAAGGTGAGATTACCAATTTACCATTAGAGCGCTTCAAAATGACGAAAATAGAGGTAGACACTAGGCTGTTGTTCCGGGTCCCCTGTCACCCAACTTGTGCCCAGATACACGTCCGGGGCCCGGCCGGGCATGACCCCCAGGCAGGGTTCCGGGCAGCCCCGGCGCAAAAAAAAAAATCGCAAAAAAAAAAATAAAAAAATGAAAAAAATATGTTGTGTAGAACTGCAATACAAATGACTTTGGCTGAGGGTCACATCAGAATTCCTCACAGAATCGGAGGGAAAAAATAAAATAAGAGAATCACACTGAGGCACCCCCCTTTAAACCCCTTTAGCTCCTTTAAAACCAATTTAAACCCCCCTTCCCCCCCCCCCTTGACAGCTAACACTTAAAAAACGGCAAGAGCCTGGATTTGGGGTCCTCTTGGAGAGCTCAGAAACAAAAAATAAAAGGAAAACAAAATACTCTCCCAGGTACCGCAGGCATCACACCCAGGTGCCCAGCCGGGCAGAGGCCTGGGTGGGCGGGACAATCTTCCTAGGGTAGACACAAGGGCCATCTGATATCCCTACACCTGAACGGCTGGGCACACCAGCAATTTAACTGTCTTTTTTTTTATATAAAGAAAAAATACAGCTGTCTTCTCCTCATATGGGCGACAGTTGTACTTTTGACTACCCTATTTTCTTCTCTCTGTACGTCTCACACTAGCTATCCATATCTATGTCCTATGTCCTACCCACAAACCTGCTGAAGCAGCCTGGAATAAGAGTTACGGGTTGAGCCTATCCCCTCGGGGTTGAGTCTACTCTGCTCTGCGCGGGGAGCAGTACCCAGCCTCCTAACCCCTAGTGGTGGATGGGGGGGAGGGAGTACTCCCCAAGACCGAGTAGGGGGGGGGCATGTGCACCATCTCAGCTGGTGAACCAGTAGTGCACCTCAGGAGGCTGTGGGGAGTGGAAAGGATGCCATGGGGAAGCGAACCCACGACCTCCTGAATACCCACTTATTTGCTCAACCACTTGCGCTAGGCCGCTGGCCCAGAACGATTAACTATCTGCTCAACCACTTGCGCTAGGCCGCTGGCCCAGAACGATTAACTATCTAATCTGGCTCTAATCACAAAAATGGGCAACACAGCTGTTGAGCTGAAGTGCACTCTCCCGTGTTGCTGTTGAATCGCCTCTGTGCCTGATGTTGCGGAGAACTCACGGCAGTGTGGAAGGGGGTGCAGGGTGGGTGGGAGCAGTGTAGCATCGGTCTCAGGCAGCTGTGAAAAAACTTTGCAGCTACTGACCAGTGACCACTCTCTCTGTGCAACCGATCCCTCCCCGCCAGCCTCTCTCTCTCTCTCTCTCTCTCTCTCTCTCTCTCTCTCTCTCTCTCTCTCTCTCTCTCTCTCTCTCTCTCTCTGTGTGCGACTAACAGTTTTCCAGGACGACACCGTTTTGGAAACTGATCCAGGGACCAGTTTCGCTAAAATTGGTTTGGGGGTAGTGGTAAACACTGGTAGTTTATTTATGAAGTTTTATGGGTTTGTGTAGCTATCAACTCACAAGGTCCATTTCTAAAGCCTTAGCAAATTTAATCGAAGTCTGTTTCAGTCCACCATGGTGAGGATCAGTTGGTGAGAATAGTAATTCGCGAGATTGGAGCATGCTATTGGTGCACGTGTTTAGTGAAATTACGTATAAGTTGGAAAAGTCTGTTTTCGTGTCACTGTCGGTGGTGGTCGATTGAATGCATAAATTGCAAACGATCCTCTTCACTAATTGCCGAGGTGGCATGGGACTCCCTCTGGTTGGAACACACTCTGAAGGAGTGAGCGGTGCCCTTAGCGTTTCTATTGGCACATGGCTGCTGCGGAGGAACACATATGGCTTCTAGTCTGGCGAATATATGATGGAATGTATTGTCGCTGTCCATCTTCCAATGGGTCCCCATATGGTGTTTCGGGACTCTTGGCTTGAAAACCGGGTTTTCTCTTTAGGAGAGAATGATAAAAGCCTGCTTTTCAGTATCTTTTGTTTAGCTGAGTGGTACATGCTGACATCATGATGAACTGGTTGAGAGTTCAAACCCTGTTGAAGATCCAGTGAGCAACTGATCATCACCTTTTGCCCATACGGTGCGGTTAATGGCGAGTCGGCAGTGGACACATGTCAGGTGTATGTTGTTATGTTCTGGAGCGGGCCGCGGTTTTGCAAATGAAGCCTTCCTTTGCCTCGGTGACATGGAAGGATTTTCCTGTCCCGGGGAGCTTGCGTCCCCCTAGGAAGAGGAAATTGGGCTTCTGTAAGAAAAACAAACATGCAAGTCGATCTTGAATCGTGGTGGTTGTGTGGGGGTTCACTGCGCGCCGAGCTTTGCCGAGCCTGTGTCCCGTTTGTTCTTTTTTCTGGTACTCTTTCGCAAAAATAAAAAAGAACTCAGCGCTGAATTTGGAAACGAAGAAGCAGGGCGTTACATCGGCGCGGTGAAATCCACAAACGAAAAAAAAAGAAAAGAAAAGAAACAACCCTGTGGACGTGCAAGCAGAGGTAGTTTCGATCAGAAAAGTGCTTGTGTGAGTGTGCCCTCAGTGAGGGCGTTACATTGGCGGGGTCAGGTCCACGAACGAACAAAAAAGGCAAAATTTGAAACTACCCTGAGCACAGTATAGCGGGTTGATACATCATCACGAGTAGCAGTGTGAGTGTGCCCTCCGTGACGGTGTCAGGGGCCCGTGGCAGTGTGCATTCCGCTAAACAAAAGAAAAGTAAAAACGAAAACTAGTGGCCGCTGAAACTTAGTGCTTCGATACGTTATTGTAAGTTGTGATGTGAGCACAAAGTCGTTCATGGCCTTCCACGACATATTTTCTCAAATTACAGTGTCTTCTTTTTTTGTTTTTTTTTTTCTCTTCTCACAAACGGGCCCAACTATAGGGCCCAAACAATTTCTTTTGGCTGAGCCACCTCAGGACCTACGAAAAATTGGGGTGTGCATCAAATTCCTGTAAGGGACTCGGGGATTAGCGATTTGATAAGCCCTCCCCTCGAAAGATCATGACCGATGCTTTGGTTGGATCAATTGCTGGACACAGTAGGCTGATGTGGAATGCGTCCTTTTCTTCCTTTCTTGAAGGGTAGACGATTCCCCACCGCCCCATGATGCACGCTTTGGGGCTCGCCAACTGAGATAGTTGGCTTGCCCCCCCTGGCTCGTCTTGGCAGGATTGGTTGGGATCCGGCCATCCCTCGCTGGGTGTTAGCAGCCTCGGTAGAGTGGATAGACATGTGCGTTCCCTATAGCAGTTACCTGCTGGTCCCGTCATGTTTGGTATGGGGGTAGATAGCGCGGGGTGTGTAGGCAGTTTGTGTGAGGTGGAGAAAAGTATCGAGAGAAGAAAATAAATATTGTAGTAAATATACAGCTGTCCCCCATATATGAGGAGAAGTGAGCTTTTCCTAAAAAGGGAAAAAAAAAGAAGAAGAAAAAAAGAAGGGCAGACGATTGTCGTATTGTCCTCTGTAGGTTGGGTGTGTCTGGAATTCCTTCTTGCTGCTTGTTAGCTATTTCTGCTTGCGGGCATGACAGAGCTTGCGGGCATGGCAGAGCCATCTACGTGCAGTGATGAATTTGTTGGCATGCAGAACTCCGTGCATGGTGTTCGCCATCAGCTCCCAGTGTCAATGCTTCACTTTCTATTCGAGGGTCAATCGGTAGATTTGTCAGTGGTGCTCTGTACTCTGAGCAGTGAAGTGAGAAGAGTAGAAAGTGAGCTTTTGATGGTCTCATGCCATGGACACTTCATGTGTGCTGTGAGATGTAATGCCTAGCATGTTGTGTTCAATGTCTTGTGCATCTGCATGATCAGTAGTGGGCATCGGTGCTCTTGATCTCCGCTTGTGTGTGCAGATTGGTAGGTTGTATCAACATTTATTCCAACACGAGTACCCTCCACTTGTTCCCCTTGGCACATACACACTCTCTCCTCTCTCAAGCTGAAATGCCGCATAGCCTGTGCAACCTGTGCTCGGTCTGTTTCAGACCGTTCTTTTACAGCGTCCTTTTGGTTCTCTTTGCCATTGTCACCATGTTGTCGAGATTGCAATCTGTCTGATAGTGAGTAGTTTGGTGACCATGACAGTACTGGAAGGGTCTGTTACTTGTGTGCCTGGTGGGTTGCTTGTATTTGACTGTATGTGGCTATGCTAGCAGCGCTGACCGACTGTTATGTGCTGCACCTTTGTGAGTTGATTATATTTGCCTGTATCCAGGGTTGCACCCCTGCCGGCCGCCGACCCCGACCGCCGACCGTATTGCAGCCGACCAGTAGGGCCGACCGGTCGGCGGTCTGCCGACCGGTCAGAAAACAACCATCCACTGATTGTTTTTCAAATCTGAGTTGGGGGCTGTACTGCGCTTGCTGAGTACAGCTGAAATCTGCTGAGAAACTTTTGGGGATGGGG